TTTGTGTTCCCTATCATCAGCTTCCTACTCCCCTTCTGCCTTCTGGGCCTTGTCACTGGTCTCCTGTACCTCGTTACTCTCATGGTTTTACTGGGCTGTCCACTCGCAGGCTGATCAGTGAACCTCGAAGGTAACTTTGGCCACTGACCCTTTTAACATCATCACCTCAAGGACCTGACTGTGAGTGCAGGAAAACTACAGAAGAGGAAAAAGATGATATACATATATATATATGTATGATCATGACATTGAAAAATAACTTTTGGCTAAAATGATAGTGGAAACAATGCAATACAATCATGACAATAGCGTTTCAATTGTGTGGCCTTTTGCCTTGTCTATTTAGCCAATCAGCACTCTTCATGTGAGTCTTTTCTGATGCTTTTCTCTTATAAATCCGTGCAATGTGTTATCTCCCTATTTCAATCTCTTAATTTTTTGCAGGGAGGGCACTCGTAATTTTACCAGCCTCGATTCAATATTGGAGTCCTGGTGGCACAGTGGTTAAGAGCCACAGCTATGGTTAACTGCTATGGCTGTTAACCAAATGATCAGCAGTTTGAATCCACCAGTCACTCCTTGGAAACCCTACGGAGCAGTTCTACTCTGTCCTATAGGGTCACTATGAGTTGGAATTGACTCAGTGGCAACAGGTTTGATGTTCTTGATATCCCAATATTAAATCTATTGTCAAAATAATCAAAACACAAAAATAATTAAAGAGCATAGGGTTTATCTGAGCAGATAATCTGCATGCCTGCAGGGAAATCTTTCTGTTCAGAAAAACAAGAAGGCTCCTTTTAGGCCAGTTACAATGAGTTTTTAATGAGGAAAGAGGAAACTACATTAGAAAATTAACCACTGGGTAATCTTAACATGATTGAATCATGACCCCCTTTCTGAGGTCTTTGTGGCTTGGGCAGCCCCCAATTCATTTGCACAAACCCTCAGGTCTAGTCCAGAAGTTTTAAAATAGTAAAAGCACCTCAACTATTCAGGAAATATAAAGATTTAGAATTATCTGTCATGAAGCAAGGAAAATTACCTACAGTTAAATTCTTTGTATAAGATAAACTCTGAAATAGTTTATGGTTAACAGACATCTTTGTCACAAAGGGGAATCGGTGTGACTTTATGGTCACTGTGACTCTGAATTATTTCTTTTTACTTGTTTTTGAGTACATTCCACAACTGTCAGTGACTTTTGTGAATTTTCCTGTGCACTCAGAAGAATCTATCAATCTCTCTGGTCCTCAGTTTCCCTCTTTAACACTATCTTATTGCATAGTAAAGCTGACTTGAACAGGATGAAACCAATTCAGTGTTTCTGCTAGATATAGTTTAGAACATGGGAAAAGAATAATAAAATGAACAAGGTAACAGACAGAGGAAGAAAAAGTAATTGGGAAGAAAAAGAGAGGGAATCAAAAAATTGGAAAAGAGGTAACACAGTAAGGGAAGAAGTAAAGGAGAAAAACCTACCATAAGATTAGACTTTCCTTCAAATGAGCCAGTGACTTCTGTTTAGCTCTTTGCTTCTTAACTGATATGTAGTCCAAGCTACTGTTGTTGTTATTGTGTGTGATCAAGTCAACTCTAACTCATAGCGACTCAATATGTAATTGGCTCTACCTAGGAGAATAGACAGCAGAAATTCTAGTAAGTTTTACTCTAATGATCAATCACTGGACAAGTGTTTGGACACTTTGCAGATAATACCTACTACCCTAAAATAATATTATCACCTGAAAGTCAAGCCAACTGAAATGAAGTTGATTTATGCGATTGAGAATTTTAGAAGCCCTCATTAAAGACATGTCCTGAAAATCCCTAGGTACAGATTCATCCCTTGAGGACAAATTTCTCCTTTGATGACTTTATTAACAGTCATGTTTTTTGATGACTTCATTATCAATAACAAACATTTTGTAAACAATTTTCCATAGGTTTATAGAGGATGGATTGTTATACATTGAGGAATAAAAGAAGTATATATAAAACAAGGTCTCTGACTATGACGGTTTACTGTGTTATTGAGAAGACATGATATATGTATGAATATAATCATATATAATGTGCCATAAGCTTGGTGATAAATGAGATTTATTTTTACAAAGTGGTAGAGAAGACAGGGGAGAAGAATTCTCTAGGGCTTGTGACAGTTGGAGAAGATTTATAGAAGATGATGGATTTTTAGCTAGGCATTGGAGAAATATTAGAAAGTAGAGCAAGGCATTTTAGGGAGGATTAACAGTGCAAGAAAAGAAACATAAGAATGAAAACTCATGAACTGATTAAAAATTGATCAGAAAATATGATAACCAAATGATAATAATAACAACAACAACCAGTTTTTTTTCCTGAGATTAGTTAAGGCTCTGGAGAGTCCAGCTATTAATGCCAATGTACAATAAGGCCTTCTTAGTATTTAGACACATTCTCCAGACGATAGGGACCATCTCTGAAGAAAACCAATGTATTATGAAGAACATAACCAGTTGGGTCAGAAACAGAGACTTCTCATGTCCATTAGTCAGAATTTTATCAAATGAATCATAAATTCCCTCCTCTCCCCCAATTTCCTGGATATATAAGAAACAGTGTGTTACAATATGTATAGCAAGTCTATCATTTTTATTTGTATTTATATTTAAAAAATGAAAAAAACCCACCCTTCAAAATCATGAACGAATTTATATTCAATAATGATGACATTTAATCAATCTATCAATGAGCAGCTTCTGTCCAGAGGTGAGATGAGAAGGCAGAGACGGTTAGGAGCTGGTTGAATGGACATGGGAAATCAGGGGTGGAAAGGAAGAATGTGCTGTCACAGTATAGGGAGAGCAATTAGGGTCACATAACAATGTATGTATAAAGTTTTGTATAAGAGACTAACTTGTAATGTAAACTTTCACTTAAACTACAACAATAAAAAAAGGAAAAAAAAGGGAAAAATCAATCAATGTCAGTTCTTCCATGATTAAAATGAAATCAGAGTAATTAAGTTTTAATTTATTAAAATAAAATATTCCTTAGAGTTTTAGGAAGATTTGTTTTGAGTAATATGTGGAGTTACAAATCACTCTGCAAAATACACTAAAACTTAACAAACTTATACTTAAAAGGTCTGTAGCTGAATTATTCAGGAAGAGGATTCTGTTTTTTAATGTTCATATTCCTTATCTTCCTGCTGCAGGATAAAACACGGTTGTTGTTGTTTTTTTTTTTTTCCTTTCAGGGATCACAAAGAAATCTGCCTTTATTTATTTTTAACATTTGTGGACATTTCCAGTTTGTACAAATGTCAAAATTCTTCCTTTCTTCCCTCAATGAGACCTTATATTTCTCATGAGATAAAGAACTTTTCCTTATGTCCTATCTTTCTGTTCTCCATTCCTAAGAATATCTTGGGAATTGACAAGAATAATGGCTGGGGCAGATCAAATACAGAATTTTTTTCTTTTCCTCCCAGAATGCTACTTAAAATAAAAGTAAAAGGATAGGAATTGTCAATCCATAAAGACAAAGAGTAACAGAAGAGGCAGCAGAATGTAACTTTGGAAGCTAAAGGAAAGATGGTCAGATGGTAACAGAATAGTCAGAACAAAGAAAGTAGAAACTTAAACTGGCTTGGAGGAGTCCTAGAAGCAAGCAGTTTATCAAAACCGACCATAGAAAGGTGAGAAATTTAGGTCAGTGAGTAACAATATTTCAGAGGAAGGTTTGGGAGTCTGCACATGAATAAAGTACAACTTCTCCATTTGGTAAAGGCTTTTTGCTGTTCTCTGAAACATTCTTTCTCCATCACAACATGATCCTGGAGGAACTCTGGAATCAGACAGAGCATATTACTACTCAGAAATGATGTGGAGGAGGTGCCCTGCTGAAAGTTAGGAAAAAAGTAAAATGTTTCAATGACAGTTAAGAGCACTGTCTCTTTCCACTTCAATGTCCCTTCCTTTGGACTTAGCTCAGGCATTTTGATGTCTAGTTAAGGGAAAGACAAATTGGAGGTACATACAGATTAGGAAAGGTATTGCTGCTTGCAGTGTACTGAGTAAAATAAATGAGACATTGCAGGGCTCATTAAATTAGAAATAATAATCACACTACTCACTGACATGGTCACAGGCCTTTATTACTTACATATTAATCAGGATGATGATAAACAGAATAGGGTTTATCCATGAGCCAGGTTTTCCCAAAAGGCTTTCATCTAAGGGTGATATGTTTAGTCAACTGCATGCCTGCCCCTCGATACATCATGGGCAAGAAACCAAAGGGAGAAAGGAATCTTGGGCTTATATAGTATAAACTGGAGGGGAATATGTGCTTGGCATGCATGGAAA